TCTATTTCCAAGCTCTGCCTCCAGCACGCACGCGTTTTATTCCGCCGGGACTTGAACTGTGCGTGAGACCGAGTACTATCAAAGAAAGCTTGCTCTGGAGGAGGAACATCTACTGCGTTCTTAACTTGTCACCAGGGATGTTCTCCCTGTTCGAGAACAGTGTTCTAACCGTTGTTTATTTCATTTATTTTCTTTACAAGAAACGCGGAGATAATAGAGAATTATAAAGGAATATGGGGTCCCGACGCCCCCAGGCAGCTTGGGAGCGTCGCACTGCGTTGTTCTAAAACTAACATGGTCGAGGCTAGGGAGCCTCGATGTGCGCTTTGCTAGGGTGATGCCACCCTTTGTAATACCACTCGCCGACAAACCAGCAGCCATTTTGTTCCTCGGGGATAATCCGTGGGGCTTATAACCCTCCCGGAAACAAGCACCTTATCTCAGAAGTTCGGAGCAGCGCTGTGGAACCCACGGAGGGAGGATTAGCATATTCCCCCTCGGACGGGATTACCGATGGACACAAAGGCCACTTTTCGGCGCACGGGGAAACAATGAGAGGAACAAAATGGCGGTGGAAGAGGGTGTGCGAAAGGGAAACAGGCAGTTGGCATCACTCTATGCGAAGCGCACATGAAGGCACTCTAGTCGAGGCTGATTCACACACTTGAGGCCGACTCCGACACCCTGAGTCTTTAAGCCTCTTACAAGTGCTTATACGACAGGCAGCGCAGTAGCAGGGACGGGGGTCGTAAGCGGCTTAAAAAGTGATTGTTTCGGTCACAACCTCAACGCACTCGAACGCGAATGTACGAAACAGCCTTTAGTTTCATTTTGCGGGCTGGTTGGGCTCAAGCAAAATAAATAATAAAACGGTTCAGCCAGTAAGACAAGAAACAAATAAATAGAGCATCGAGAGACCTGGAAGGTACACTCAACAAAGATTTAGTGTCCATTACAAATAAATTGAACCCCCCGCTGTGGTCTACGCGTCCAAAGGACAAGAGATTCATGCGGCCGCGGTGGTCGGCTGTTCCGGAACCCTAGTTTTCACAGTTAGTATTTTGGATTATGTCTTTAACGACCCTGGATACCGCCACCGGCTACTTTTTGTCTCGTTCAATATGGAAACATCGGCGAGGGAAAGTGTCAGGAAGGCACTTGGTGAAAGACCAAGGACGAAATGCCCACCACCGCACGAGAAAGAGGGTTGTTCGTGGTATACGTAGTATACGCGTTACCTGGCAAACGTGTGAAAAAAAGAAGCTAAAGAGGAAAAATGTATAAAAAAAGAAATTTATAGAAAAAAAAAAAAAAAACACGTTGCGCGACGATCACAGGATGCTATGCGTTAAGACAGGGAGAGCTGTGCTGCTTGTTCGAAGATATGACGATGACGATCGATTGGCTTCGGACCGATCGTGCGTCAAACGGTGATCTGATATTAAGGAGTGGGGGATCGGTGGCCGAGTGGTCTAGCGCACACCAGCTCGGAGCACGTGGAGCGAAAGCTCGCGCTGCAGAACCCAGGGATCCTGGGCTCAATCCCCACCCCTGCCCGTTTCGATCTGGATGAGCATCGTACGTGCGTGCGGTCGTGTATCACTACTGCGTGGTGCACGTTAAAGACCCCAGGCTAGCGGTTGTACTGCACTGGCTTAACTGCTCATCTACAGCTGGGAGACTCGTCGCCCCTGTGAGGCAGACCAAGTTCTAGGCTGCTTAAACATACACACAACACCCAATATTAAGGAGTTTTAGGGAACCGTTTTCGCGCATCCGATACGGTACGAAGGGAACTCCGGTACTCACTGCGCATGCGCTACCACAGGAGACTCCCATAGGCGCAGTTCGTACCGGAAGACTAGGGAAAATGGTTCCCTAAAACTCCCTAGTAGTGAGGTTTAATAGATCGTGTTTTCAGGCCACGCTATTTGTAGCAAGAGCTCGCGCTTCCACTTCGACACGTGTTCTGAAGCGCGCTCCCGTAGCGGCAGCGGGTCTCTGCAAACTATCGACTAAAACTCTCTATAGGAAGTATACACTGGTGGGCATAGTTGTGTGCGCGACTGCTGAGCGCGTGCTGATGGCGAGCTTCCACAGTTCTTTTGCAACGTGCATTCCACACCGTCAAAATGGCCGGTCTTAGCAGCCTATTAACCGGGGCTCGTTCTGAGCGTGCGCTCTAGAGAGCACCCACAAATATGGCGCCCAGTGAATACTCCTTATAGGGGACTTTTAGGAAACCGTTACCGCCTACCGCACTACCAGAACCTTTGACCGCGGGGCATGAGCTTTTAAGCCCACGTTCCGCGGTCATGGTATCACCCGGCGCGCTCAAAAGCATGCTTTAAAGACTTCGGTGCTGCGATACGGAGAATGCAGTAACGGTTGGCTAAAAGACCCTCTTGAAATGACGTTGCGGTGATTTAGCGTTGACAGGTCGTTAACGAATAAATTATTTTAAGGTCGTGATGTGTTTTCCCGCCAAATTTAGCGGGGAAATTGAATTATCGCGTAGGCTACGTGACGCCAACTTTTTCGCAAAATTTAGTGGGGAAACTGACGGCGTTTACGCTCACACTGTCGAAAAACCGGAAAACGCACCGCTAACAGCTATCACTGTAATATATATATATATATATATATATATATATATATATATATATATATATATTTTTTTTTTTTTTCTTCGGTGAAAAAGGAAGATCAGCGGAGCTGTACAATGGAAAGTAATGGCCGGCCGCAAGACGGCAAGCCAGAGTGGAAAAGCTGCCGCCATCTATGAACGACGGCTGCAACCAGATACGTGACTTGCCGCCGTCGCTCATAGATGGCGGTAGGTGTCCCGAGTCTGGTGTCTTCATTTCTTTGCGGGGGACACCATCCTGGAAAATCAGCCCTTAACAGCTCCGCTGTAAAAAAAAAAAAAAAAATATGCGTGCGGGATGTCGCATTGACCAAATAAATACTCGCAGCTACACAATTCCTTTCTTTTCCATTATCATTTACCCTAGAATAGACTGGAATCATTGGAATGCCAGCGATATCTCTAGGCTTTCATCAACATTTTTGGTGAAGTTGTTTTTTTTTTCGTTTTCTTTTATGCTTATGACTGTACCTACAGAATTCTGCGACAAAAAAGTAAAAAAAAAATAAAGAACTCTCCTGTCGTGGGCGATCTTCTTCGGGTATGGTGTAGTATCGCAACCGTACGACGCATAATCGTAGGGCCAATTGAGGTATGGTCACGGCTTTCCTCTGCCACACTTTATTTTCGGTCAACGATCTAATTGTTTTGAATGATAAAGTACACAATTATAGTAAAAGCGCCAAATGCTCTTGTAGTCATACCTTTTAGCGTTTACCCTGAGAATGGAGATAAGTTTAGTTAAGTTAAAGTGATAGTAGGAAGAATGATCGTGCTACCGACAGATTTCTTTCTTTTTGCTTTTCTTTCCGGGGAATAAAGTTTTGTGTTTTTTCGCGGTTTTGCGTCTAGACGTTACAAAAACTGGATGATCTTTTTTTTTTTTTTTTTGAGGCATGAAGATTAGCACGGCAAAAGACATATTGTCTCACAGTCGTTTTATATGACCGAGTTTCTTCCTTTTGCCGCATAAAAAAAAAAAAAGAAGGTGTGAGCTTTGGGACGAGTCATTTACGTAAGAAACATGCAAAAAGATAAACAAGTGTTTGTGCTCTATCAAAAGCAATAAGAAATTGCCGCTTCCTTGGCGATTTTTCGCATTGAAATGCGGTGGACAGCCGAGGCGTACTGCACGTGTGACGTCACGGGACATCATGTCACGTGACCTCACGGGACGTAAAAATTGCCTCGTCACGTGACTTGACGTCACCTGACACAATGATGTCACGCGAAGCGCTTCCCTGCTAAAGTTACTGGAGAAATATTTTGCTAAATTTAGGAAAAAGGGGGAGGGGCGGAATTGTCAGGCGATACCGTGACGTCATAAGTGATTACGTGACCATGTCATGTCACAGTGTCACGTGACAATAAGATTCCCCGCTACATGTTGTGAAGGATTACATTGCCTCGTGACATCACGTCATGAGATAGTGTGACGTCCCAGCGTGATTAGATATTCTGATTGGCCCAGTTAAATTTGGCGAGAAGTTTTTCCTGCAAAATGTAGCGGGTCACGACTCTACACCACGAAACGTGCTCCTGGATGTGCGGCGAAACCTCGGCTTGCAATAACGGCTGTCGCAGTAGAGATCGAGCAAAAAGGGAGTCTTCGAACGCAGTCAACAAGAGAGACCGCGACGCTCATCAGAACATCCTTGAAGGTTCATTCTTGCCTCTCTGCACGTGATCCGTCTTGTCGCCGCCAGAATTCATTCGCAACATCCTCCTGAGCTGCCCCAGCCTCTGTTTATCCTCGTGCGTTGCAGTCAATATTATCAAACCACACGGTGGACTCATCGTGCCAGGGGCTCAGCATTAATCGGGCGTTTCTAGTGCCCCTGTATGGGCTACACATTTGATTTATAATGTCAACTCGCGTCGTTGGTGAGTCGATCTAGCCATTTACATTAGGGGATGCGTTGAATTCAGAGTCGTTTGCATGGTGCGTCGTTGTTGGTACTTTCGATTTTTTTTCGCCTTGTTTGCTTGTACACTCCGTGAAGCAGCCTTCGCGTTCGGTTTGGCCACCATACAAATAGTTGGTAATATTTTTTTCCTACTGAAATACCAAAGGTGGTTCCTGTAGAAACCAGCTTTGGTATTTCAGCAGGGCAGCACATTTGCCGCTACTGGAATGCCAGTTTCAATAGCGGCATAAATTTGGGCGACGGCTGAGCGTTGGGCGATGCGTAGTTTATTTTAAAAACACAAAGCTTTTCCCTCGTGTATATCATATGTCATCACGAAAATGGTCTAACAGTTTGTCTACTCAACTCGCAGATGGGCTGAGCTCGTGGAGGGCGGACGCTGCGCCGTCGCGGGGCGTCGCAGCGATCGAGTCTAGAGTGCGGGCATGCACACCGACCCCTGGTCCCTGCAACCCAGCCGGTCCCGGCTACTGGCTCTCTGCCTGGCGGTCGCCTGCGCCACCTGCTACCTGGCCGCGCACCTGCTAACCCTAACCCAGCAGCAGCCGCCGTCCACGTCCATCTTCTTCATCTCGGGCGTGGCCCCTCCCCCGAGCCCGCCGGTGGGGGCCCATCAAGAACCCCACCAACCACAGCAGCGGGGGCTTCAGTCTCACCAGGAACCACGGCCACGGTCTCCTGGCTCCCCGTCGACGTCCAGAATCGTCCGCTTTCCTAAGACCCGAAGACGTCTACCGCAGTGCGTCATCATCGGCGCTCGCAAGTGCGGTACCCGGGCGCTCCTGGAGTTCCTCAACATCCATCCGGGAGTCCGGAAGGCGCCGGACGAAGTGCATTTCTTCGACGACGATTCCAAGTACGCCATGGGGATAGAATGGTACCGTCGCCGCATGCCTTACTCCTTCCCACATCAGCTGACGGTGGAAAAATCGCCTGCTTATTTCGTCACCGAAGCGGCTCCAGGACGGGTGTGGGCCATGAACGCGTCCATTCTGCTCCTTCTCATCGTCAGAGACCCCGTGGTGCGCCTGGTGTCCGACTATGCCCAGCTGGCGGCCAACCGGCAGCTGAGGGACAAGGCGAGACCTCAGCTGCCCTTCGAGCAAGTGGTCCTCTTGCCGGACGGTTCGGTGAACACCGAGTACAGACCGGTGAGGACGAGCATGTACGCCGTGTACTTCAGGCGGTGGCTGTCCCACTTCCAAAGGCAGCAGATGCACGTCATCGACGGCGATCGACTAGTCAAGGAACCTTACGAGGAGATGCGCCGCGTCGAGACCTTCCTGAGACTTCCGCACAAGATTCCCAAGTCTTCGTTTTACTTTAACAGGACGAAAGGCTTCTACTGTGTGCGGAACGACACGGTGGACAAGTGTCTCAACGACAGCAAGGGCAGGAAGCATCCTGACGTGCCCGGTTCTGTGGTCAGTCGGTTGAGACAGTTCTATGCGCCCTTCAATCGTGAGTTTTACCAGATGGTTGGGAAGGACTTTGGCTGGCCCGAGGAGTGACCCAGGTCTCTGTCTAGGTACGCGGAGAACGAATTCAAGGTTAGATAAATTAGCCGTAGTATGACAATCTGTTCCAAGTCACAATGGTCTAGTCAAGATTTTGTGATTGTGAATGAGGTTACTTTACGTCTATTTTGCTGCCAAAAACTACGATGGAAATGATACGGTTAGCCACAAAACACCCATATATGCAGATTTTTAGCGTATATAATTGACAGCAGATAACAAACCAGATTATTGTTGCTTCATAAGTTTCACAAACTAAACATGTATTTGCAGAAGTCAAATGTATTTGAAAATAGATGAAACAGACGGAGAGTCAAAAGCACGGGGCAGAAAATGACCGCACCCCAAAGTTCTCACTTTCTTGAAAACCATTGGCACCTTGTCATTAAGAAGGCCAAAAACATGCAAGTTAAGTTCAATTAGTGAATTTTTTATCATTGGGTGTTTCGAAATCTAACCTCATTTGAGGATCTCGGTGCTGTATTGGGAGATAACTAAGCAAAGCGCTTGCCTTATGAAAAAAGGTAGTCGTAGTCTCCATTGTGCTAAGCCCGTAGAACGAAAACTCAACCGAGGGCCAGCAGATCGTCCTTTCTTCCCTGTATCATAGCAGACCATGTGAACGGCATCTTTGTTGGCTCTGTGGTGGGAATTAATTTTCCAGCCATTTAAAAAGGAACTCGTTATTTGCCAGGACATATTTCGGAAGGTTTAGATAGTTTATTTATTAATTCATAATTGTGATGACGGGCAGTATCATTGTGTTCTTGAGTATGACTGCATCTAGACTGTAGTCATCCAGCAAGGAGACTAAGCAATTGAAACGGCATATACTGCCGAGTAACGTATCTAGGAGCTTAGTAAATACGTCTCGATTTTTCACTGAGCAGAATTTAGGAAAAATCTGTTTAACACATGAGACTGCGAACAATAACGTGGGTTGTCGCAAGGGATAACTACTGTTATGCAGATACAAAACCTTCCCATCTCCTTGACGCCTGTCAACCCCGCCAACAAAGACACCGGTCTAACTTCCACCCCGAATAGGACAATAAGTGACGTATACTTCCCCCTCATCACGCAGGGACGGGGAGTATACCAACGATCGCCACGAACGCCGCTGTTGACAATCATATTTACACCGACTTTACAAAAAGAGAGACATTCCTCCTGTTGTTGAGTGCTTGTTCTGAGCAACAGAATCGACACGAGAGCTCTTGTTGCTTTCACACTGTGGTAAGCGTCATGTGCAATCAATCTTTGCTCGCGTAACAGAGTGACAATCACGTAACTCTTTTTCTCTCTTCTAGATGTATATATAGAGCATATATATATACACACACAGCGTACAACTTTAATGACAATCATTGCCTATTTATATCACGTTCGTTTAGAGTGTGTCGGTCCTGTCAGACTGTTCAGTGTATATAGGATACCCCGCTCTCGAAACGCATTTACCATGTGTGTATACCCTGTTCAGTTTTGTGGTTGTTGTGCTGTCCTTGACACAGAAGTCATTGTTTACTCCTTAGCCGCGAGTCAACATTATTCAAGTGTGACAATTTTGTTTTAGTCTCATTTGTGAACATTCTCAGCGAAGTGCTCTGTCTTTTTGTTTGTACAGCTAGCTCGCACAATGACTCGGCGCCTTTTACAAGCCCTCGATGACAATCATACCATGGCGTTGAGCTTACCTTATACACTCACGCACTCGAGAGTATTACTGCATTTAGCTTGTTGAACGTAAAGACAATCTTTCGACTATCATCGTCCTTCAATACCTCATGAAAGCTTGATCACCTGCCCTGGGTGCGGCACAAGACCGCCTATCGACAATCAATAACCGATGACGTGCCCCTGTGACGCTTTTGCGACATGATTACCTTAAAGAATCCTGAATTGTGTGACTGATTAAGAGTATTCCTTTCGTAGTATCAGCATGGGACAGTAACTCACACAAACATAACATGTGTACGGAGCAAATCGTGGAGTCCTCTGAGATAGCCGCTCGCATTCCTCAAATGACGCTAATTAAAATTTTCACATAAAAACGACACCGAGCGGCGAAAGCTTGAACTGCGGTTGGTGTCAGGGGAAGGTAACGCAACTCCCTTTCCGGACGTCAACTCTAGTTCGAAGTTTCGCCGCTGCATGAGGAGGACTTGCGCATGCACATAGCTCATCTTTAGAAAGGTCGACTGATTTGGTTGCTATCAGGGCTGATCAGTTATCTCACACATTAATATGAACGGTAGAAGGCAAAGAATCGCAATTCTGCGTTTAAAGGAGTACGACGCTATAGGATTCTTTGAGGAAGATGTATAGTCATTGTCACTGCGTGCTGCATGAATCAGCAGTATCGACCTTCCTTGAGTGTGCCGGAGACGAGAATATAAGAACCGTAATGCAAAAGGCGGAGGCAAGCCAGAGAAGATTCGTATTGTACAATCTCGAGTCCAGAAAAACGCATAAGGCCTAAAACACACACCTCCAATCACTGTCTGCACCAGGCGAACGCTCACCTGTGAATTAACTGACGCGCGCGCAACGCGAGAGCTCAATACTCGAGTTCTTCAGCTGATCAGTGTGTGACGTTCATTTCTAGTATACCCTTGGCTCACTTTGTTCACCTCTTCTAGCATTCGAAATAGTTCCATTTATAAACGTTGGCCATGCGCTGACAACTTTGGAGTATGAAACACCATAGCAGAATCCTATGGAGACAGTTCGACCTTCGTGCCATCTTGCGGTGATGAGTAGGAACTAGGGAGGTTCGATACTTCATCTATCTCCAGTGACTTAAGACTCAAATAGGAGCATAGTTTGTAATCGCAGAAGGCGATGTTACCAAGAGGCAACATGTCGCCAATCTATTTCTATTTTACGCGCGCAGACAATCATATTGCCCTAGCAGACTTCAATTTTGGGAGCCTCGTGTTTTGCAAAATTAGGCGATTGCAAGTAGGTCGACAGGCCGCCGCCATGTCTCTGCTCGTGCCGACGAGTCTGCGCAAATGCAAGCTTGCAAAGCCTACGCTCGCGCGCAGACTTCCCGTGCTTGCACACATAGGACACCAGTCGCGACGCCATGCTTGCAATTGTCTATAGCCGCGAAGCTAAGCAGTCGATATACCAAAAACATCACAGACGCTTAAGCCTAGAATTAGCTTGGAGAAGGGATGACGAGATGCAAACAGACAATCAATCTTACAGATCTTGTGCCCTATAAACCAACTCACGTTTGTGACGTCACGCAGTGTCGATTCCGCGGTGGGTTGAGCGGAGCAGACGCTGGGGCTTGGCTTTTGCGCGAGGGCGGCCTCCCCAGAAAAAGTTTGGAAAAGTTTGCGTAACGTCATACCGCCCCTGGTTACAAAAATGGCCACGCTTGAAATGCGGGAGTGCCCCATTTGTTTGACTCCAAGGGGCAACTCAATTTGGTGCCGGTCCCTTCCATCCAGGTCAATGGCCTCTTACTACAATACAGGGACAATCACGATGAATGGGTCATTATTTTATTTTTTATTATTATTATGTTTTTTTTTTGTCGTTTTTTTGTACGGAGCAATGCGTGCTTCGGGGCGAGCCAGCACCGAGCCCGGCATTCCGTGACAATCAATAGGTTTACAGGGGGGTCGATAAGAATGGGATTGAAAACGCAATACGCATACAGCGAGATGAGAGAGAGAGAAAAAAATCAATATATGCACAAAACAAAACCACACAAAAGCGAATTCGACGGACCGAACTAGTATCGCAGTCCCAGCAACAGCTGGGATCTGATCGAATGATGTGTTGCCGCAACCGCACGGGGCCGCAGAATTGCGTGCACGTGCGATATTCCGTCAGTCAATGGACAGAAGGGGACGCTACGAGCCTTTCGAAGCCAGAGCCGTTTATACTGAGAGAGTTCGGCCAATGGGCGGAGCTTGTTGCCCTCCAGAACGAGCGGATTTCACGATAACACAAAATGGCGTTACTTCTTTGTCGTCTTTATTGCCGAGAAATCGCATAAAGTTTCAATGAGCCTGGGCCCCAAAATGGCGGACGGAAGCAGTCATTCCCCGGTTGTCAGACTACGCTGCTGTGGTTGCCAGGCTGTCGAAATCTCCTTAAGAAGGCCAAACTCTCTCAGTATAAACGGCTCTGTTCGAAGCTAAAGCCCCTCTACCCTGGGAAAAGTGGCGTCATTTATTGTTGGAGACATGCTCGAGGCACGTGCCGCGTGACAATTCTGGGAAATTCATGGCGTCTGAAATTTAGCTCAAGGCTGCGCTCTGCCGCCGTGATCTTCCCAAGGGCTGCACGTTGCACGCGCCTCGTGCATCGACGAACCTTGTGCTACTTTTGATCCAGAAAAGGGCTTTATTCGAAGCTAGGGTGTCTACACGTTTGACTGCCTCAGGGTGAAGAAAATCAATTGTTGCCCTGAATGTGCCAGCGCGTGACGCTCTGACTCACTCGGTGCGTGACCTCGGCGGTAAAATGGCGTCTATGCATTAGCCAAAGCACGCCCGGACTGGAAGCGCGCGCTCTCCTTGAAAGAGAGCGCGCGCTTGCAGTACGGCCGTGGCCAAAGCTACGCGCTCGAGCTGAGTGACACCAATTTGCGAGCACTTCAAAATGCATAAAAAAAAAAAAAGAATGGGCGGGAAAATGGCTGAGATGTCACCACTCAAGCAAAAGCGCGCGTGTGTATGAAGGCACTCTATTCGAAGCCAAGAGAGTTTTAGAAGAGGGGACTCTGACGCTTTGGGTACGCCAAGCAGCTCTCAGGGTACTTAAAGCGCCGCCCTGCACAGGCGCAGAGGTTCCGCGCGCAGTGCTGGCAACCTCCGAGGCCACTTTCTCCCCAAATTTTATCCAAAAATTCTCTAGATTTCTTTCGATTTTTGGAAAATGCCTTTGCACTGCGCGTTTACCGTACTCGGGGGGCCCAAAGTGTTGGGACGCCCTATCCTAAACCTCTGGCAGTGGCGTAGCCAGGCGCGCTG